ATAGTGTGGTAGATATGTGGGGGCGTGTTAGAATGAGCCGTTTTAGGGGGGCGTGGCAGAGTCTTAACTTTGATAAAGAATATCTCTTTGGATTTGAGACTTTAGTCTTTGCAACTTCAGGGATCTTATCTATGCACAATCAGCTTGTAACACTCCAAAGAGAAAGGAAAACTTGAAATCGCATCATATGACCCGTTAAATAAATAAATGCATAAACCTATATGCTCGTCATGTAGGTTCATTATTAAAAATGAAAATGTGAACAAAAATACATGCAATTAAATGTGTTATTAAAATTAAAATGACGGGTAATAATAGATTATGACGGATTTTTTACGACCCCGTCCGTCAAAATGATGGACAATGTTAAAATAAAAATAATATATATATTGGTCAAAAAAAAAAAATATATATATATAATTGTAATTCGATTGTGTTAAATAATTTAATGAATTATTGGGGCCCAATTTTGTGTGTGTGTGTTAATTTATTGATTAATATGATTAATTTAGCAAATATTTATGGTATTGCTTCCTTCTCGGTGTGTAAAATCTCTTTTTCTTTTTGCCGCATTTTACCTGTAAAAGAAAACCTGTTTAATAATTGTGCACATCTGAATGCAAGGCATTTTTTTTCACTTCCAGCCTCGTTACCAATTATGTATCACTTATAAATTATTATATACAAAAGGAAAAGTAGTTATTAAAATAGATGTGGTTTGACATTGGTAAAATGTGCGTGGAAAAAATATTAGTAATTATACACACTATATATATAATTATAAATATATACACACACACACACACACACACTATACACACACACATCAATATTTAGTACCCGTTTTGTTCCGTCCTCTTTCACGTTTGACAGGTTAATGTTGTTCTTTTCATTTTTCTCTTTCCCACCCTTTTCCTTTTTCTTTTTAAATATCATCTTCTTGCAGAAACACAGGCAGCAGCTGAGCGTGATGAGGACTATGAGGAAGCCGAGGGCCACCACAGCCCAGGATGGTACTGAAACAACACAGAGAAACGACAGTAAATACACAGGTGAGTAAGTGATTATGTGTGTGAGAGAGACTGTCTACTCACATGGGACTCTATGAAGCTCATTCAGAAACTTGCTTCTGATGCTATGAGCCAAACTCTCTGCGGTTGTAGTCTGAGGATGAACAGCCGTGGGTGGAGAACTCGCAGGTCCAGGTATCTTTGATCCATTCAGTGCTGGAGATGAGGAAGGACCAGCCAGCAGAGCATCACCTTCATGCATTCTGAGGACATGCAGTGGAGAAGTGCATTATCTGAAGAGTTGCATGTGACTTTATAAAGTTTTGACTTCTCTAATAACCTTTGGCATTTGCACAGATGCTAGTGAGCGTAATGCTGATGCTCTGGAAGCTCATTATAAGGTGTAAAGGCAAAGGCAGGTTCACATTCAGCGCACACAGCAGGTGACATGATGCTCCTTAACCTTGGATTATTTTGAGAAATGCTGAGTAGGGATTTATTGATTTTCTCTCTATTTACAGTGAAATGAGACACAGAAAACCAGTGACACTGATACCCCTGAGACACACTGATACCCTGACTCAAACTTATACCTGTATATCTAACACAAATAATAATAAACATGCATTGATATATACACAACACCGTCAAACTAATCCTAATGCAAACCTCAGAAGCATTCATATAAAAGTATTTATTCAAAGCATTGTTTAGTTTATATAAAAATGCATGGATAGCCTCAGACACAACGTGTGTTTGTATGCACATAAAAGTTCATTGTTAAGTATAATCTAAGGATTGTAAAAAATCACATACTATATTTGAGGAGGAAGAACACTTACCTGCAGCTCTGATTTTAGAAGTGCACTTGACAGGCAGGTTATCTGAATTACTATGAGGCAAAACAGAAAATGAAAGACAGGAAACTAAGGTAATGAGATAAAGCTGTCTTGTGTGTCTTGGCAAGACTATTGTTTTAAAAGAAAGAAAATATCAAGATGTTTGACTGAGTTTAATGCTGCTAGAGAGACGATGACAGAAGAGAGAGAGAGAGAGAGAGAGACTGAGAGAGAAGCATCCAATTGCAAGCTGTGCAGCAGTGGGTGGAACCATATGGACATTATGACAAGGTTTTAATGAGGGATGATTTGAAATGCAGGGGTCACATTAAGGTGCCAGTACTGGTTATTTCACAAAATATTTGGGGGGCATATAAAAATTTCTAAATGTGGTATCTACATCCAAGGAATAGAATAAAATATATTTGCAAGCTTGTCTTTAACAAATATATTTGGCTCATGTTTTTATTTATTTATTTATTTATTTTAATTTTTTTTTTTTTTTTTTGCACACACTATATTGTTTTTAGAATTGTAGCATATATCATTTATTTATTTTATTTATTTAGTCATTTATTAGACGCTTTTATCCAAAGCGACTTACAAATGAGGACAACAGAAGCAATCAATTGTAGTATTAAAACAACTAAAAACAGATCCAAAACTAAAAGCTAAAACTTTATACTTTATAAAAATACTACCTATACACATTTAAAAAAATAAAGAGATTAAATAAAAATGACAAATGCATACAACAAAATTTCAAAACTTAACATATAAATGAAAAAAAAAATTTAATTCAATAAAAATGACAAATGCATACAACAAAATTTCAAAACTTAACATTTAAATGAAAAACAAAAAATAAAGCTAAAAACAATTGAAAATATTAAAGAACAAAAGGTATAAGAGTATAATAATGATTCTAACATAACACTAAGCCAAACACCAAAAAAAAAACTACATATATGTGTGTATGTACAACCACACACACATACATATATACTGTATATGTACATACACATGTATAAATTCAATATATATATTATTTCATTTCCATTTAGTTTGTTGAAGTATAAAATAACTCAAATTAAATAAAACTAAAAACGTAATTAAAGACCTATACAGACATAATAAATTCAGACATAATGTAACTAAAATTAAAATAAATAACAAATACAAATAATACAAATCAAATGACAGTAGTTTATCAGTAATCCTAAAAAATAACACTGCCAAACACACATGCTAAAAAACAACAACTTACTTACACATAGTAAGAAAT